TGGCTTATATTATGTACCTTTTTTTTTCGAGTTAATCGAGGGACGGAGGAGGAACCGCGTTACAGTGTTAGCATTTCTTCTCCTTTATATTATGTACCTATATGTAGTATTATCTACCTAACACCAGCTGTGTATATTAAAGATGCATGCTATCCAAAAAAAAAATCTGATCAAGTAGAATGTACCTAAAACCTGTTTAGAATTCTATTTTTTAAACATACAAAAAATAGCTGTTTAATACTTATTACTTATTAGTTATTTAATTTCCACATGGTTGTCGGGGCTTTAAAATTACACAATGTTTTTACTTTCTTGGTAAAAATTATATGTCCGTATATATATATATATTATTACCTCGATATTATTATTTATTGCTACACTCGGAAATCTGAATTGAATAATATTAATAATAATTAAAAGAACAATTTCTTTTACTGTACCTACCTATACGTCATAATAATATATACCTATTAAATCAAATAACTATGGTCTATGCTTATGTAATATTAAACATAAATTAGATCAATTGGTGGAAAATTATATGAATACTTTTATGGCTAAATGTGTATACAATTCTATCTATCTACCAAGAAAATTATAAAACATTATTGTGTAGGTACCTATAGAAGTGCAGTATGTATACCTACCTAGGTAGTACAATCATATTTATTTACTTTATAACTTATATAAATTAGTTACTATATAGTTGGTTAACCTGATAGCATAATGACTTGCCTGCAACAAGCGGTTTTTATACAGTTTGAAATAGACGTACCTACACAAAATTTAGTATGCCTATACGGCTATACCTAGGTGGCTAGGTCCATGAAATAAATTAAAAGTGTTAATATTTTAATAACAACACAATATAATTACGGAGAGAGTAATATTAATTTAACCATGTGAAAAAAAATACTCGTTTATATAATAAAAAAACAAACCATAATAGGTATACCTATCACCTATTGTAGTTCAACTCACAACTGATTGCGTTATGACTTTTGTATTATAATTGTATTCGGTGTGTTACTGTGTTATAAGTTACAATACAAAATATTATATTATATTACCTATTAGGGGCTAGGGCTCGGATTTTTATGTAACAAAAATGTCAAAAAATATAAATATGTTATTTTTACCTAAAAAAAATTATTGGTACTTTTTATTTTAGCTATTAAATGATTTAAATACTTAATAAAAAAGGTTTTATTTAAAATAATATTTTTTTAAATTTTAACTTTTAGCCATAATATAACATACAATTTTTTTAATTTTAGCCTTATAAAAAAATAAAAGTACCTAGTTGAAAAACAAACGAATGAATGAGAACAACAGACTATTCACTGGAGTAATAGAATAGTATCTGTTTTATAGATTGTATAACCGATATGGGCATATTGCTAAAATCGTTATTTAACCTATCTTATCTTATATTAAATAATTTATTACAACGTTCTCTGTTTCAACTTTCAACTGAACATATTTCCCACAGATTATACAGAATAATGGATATTATCAATATATATGTCAAAGAAATAAGAATAGGTAAATAAAATATAATATTATAGGCAAAAGATTTTTTTATAAAATGCATTATTTTGAAAATGCTAAATTTATTATTACATACTTTGTAATGTTTGTATACATATTGGATATAAATATATAATGACATTTATTGATTTATGTTATGTGTTATATAGGTACCTTGTACCTAAGTATTGGGTCTAACAATAACGTACATTGTAGCATGTAGGTATATATAGTATAAACTATATAAACTAAGAATAAAAAATGCCACTACCTATACTTATAAACTTATTTGTCAGTTAAAACTTAAAAAAAATAATTATACAACAATGAACACTTATTAAGTAAATTATAATTATCTACTTATTGTCACTTCCTATTTATTTATTATTCTTGTGTCAAAGTGACTAAACGAAATAGTGTCTTAATAGTGTCTTAATATCACGTAGGTACCCATATATTATATTATATTGAAGGTACTTATATAGAAATTACTGTACATAATATAAATATATTATGTTATGTACAAAATATTTTTATTTTTTTTTTTTCAATACCTATTAACATTTTTGTATAATTTAAATACTTAAGTGAAGACACTATAAAGACAAAATTATGCATTTTCATTCAGCAAAGTTTTTGTATCGGAATCCACACGAAAATATAGTAGCTGAATGAGAATGACTGATATTTTATTATGAGAAAAAATGTGATTAAAACGGGACAAACCATTGTTTATTATACATACGACTTTCCTATCTGAAACGAACAAAATATGTTACGTTCATGATTTGTCGGAATAGAAAATTTAAAAAAAAACATAAAAGCAAACAATTTAAATAATTTCTAGTTTCTAGTAGGTACCCACATCAAATATTATGTTAAGTTAACCTTTCAATGTACGCACTATCATAATAATTACATTTCTATTGTATAAAAAAATAAAATATAAATATTCAACTATTTGACATTGATAGGTACATAAACCTTTGTAGTTTGTACCTTAAATACAATAATATATGAGTTCATAAAATACATATTTGTTAATACGATATGACCTATGCCATAGGAGCTGAAGTCTTCTGACCAGGGCTCGAAAGTTGTAGCACTAAAAATGTGACTTCTTAGCTCTTAAATATGCACTTAAAAACTCCAAAATATGCACTATGAATAGCACAAAAAATCAAAAAATATGCATTTAACTTGAAAAAATTAAAGTTATTAGAAAAAAATTAAATGTAATTTTACAATATTATACAATTGTTGGGCCCATAGACGTCAGGGACTGTCTGAACTAGTTGAATTATAAACCTGATTAACAAATATATTAAATTACTTAAATATGTTTGTAAAAGTGTACTTGTAAGGTCTATTTATTTCCTAACCAAGTTAATAATTATTTTCATCATAATATGATAATATCCTATATTTTGTATAATAGGTATATAGGTATATATTATGTATATTATGAAAATATACCCAAAAATTGCTCTATAAACCCTAAATTAGCAAAAAAGCAATAAAAACCGTAAATATGCGAAATAAAGCAAAATAAAATGTCATGTATGACATCAGAAAAGTGTGATACATATTTGTATCTTACTTTTTATGTTCTAGGACGTACCAAGAAAAATATGCATTTGCTAGAACTTCCGAGCCCTGCTTATGATTGTTCAATGTTTATGTTTCAATGCTAAACAATAGATGTCGAGTGTAGCTCGTAATTGAGTAGGTAATAAACTATAAAGTAGGTCTGTTGTAGTGTTAAATTTGAATAAAATAATATAATGCATAATATAATTTAATTTATTGCATACACAAAAAAATATTGTAAGCGGAGACAATTGGTCGCCTATTTTTCTAAGGATATTTTTAACAACAAAATAATTTGTAAATGTTCATGATTTTTGTGATTTTAATGAATTTAATAAAAGTTTGAACTTTTAACGCTTAAAAATATTATTTTGACAATGTGATTCGGTACTTATGTATTTTCGATGTATTTTAGCGATGTAATTTACCTATTGGCTATTACCTTGGAACAACTAATGAGGAACCTTGTATTAATTTATCAAGCTTTTTTATTTAGAAACAAAAATGTTATTATAGGTACATAAATCGAAAACCTCGATAATAGATACCCCTATTATTATAATAAAATAGTTGTATTTTGGTTAATAGTAGAGGCTTTGGGGCTCAAGTTCATATTAAAATGCTTTATATATAGTTATTACGTATAGCTAATAAATAAAATTATTATAAAAGGTATGGAGTAGAGTAAATTACATGTAGGTTGTAGGTATCTTGTATAGGTACTAATTTACGATATTGCAGGTCATCATAGACATGCCTAGAATTTATTCACAGATGCGGTCAACCACCAACAATTTTATGGTAGATAACCTAAATCAATAGATGCTCTCGTAAAAAAAAAACGTAAAATATATTTTTTAGAAATCATTTCATCCCTCTCAAAAAAAGTTTTAAATGCATGCTGATTCTTGAACTATTTTTAAGAATACGATAATAGTATAGTAAATTGTATTATAAGTAAATATTTTATTTTTTTTGTTGGAGCTTATTTATGTTCTTAACATTAACTCAAAATTCTGCGAGAAGCTATTCAGATCATAAATTATGATTCATAATAAATTATAATAATATATTAATATCATATTGATATTGAAATATAGTATTATAATAATAAATATATCGTAATATTCACTGTTTGTATTTTTATTTTTATTTACTAAACGCATAACGCATTATAATGTAAATTTTATCTGTAAAAAGTAAAAGTGAAATGGTAGGTAATTAATAATATCATTATATACACAATACACACACACACACACACACACACACACACACACACACACAAACACACAGCAACCGTTTGGACCCATCGTCGTGGACCGGTTCGTGTTCAGGCAGCGACGTTTGGTTAGCTGTACGCGCGTGCCTGTTGTACCTATAGTAGTTGTTGGAACTTGTTGCGCGCCCGTCCTGCGGTTGTGACGTTATGTTCTTGATTCTTATTGTGTATTAATATAATAATATAATAATATAATTTTTTATTCATTTCGAATAAGTGACTGTTAACGATTTTCAAAATTGATAACAGCAGCTGTCCTCGTGAGTGTGTGTGTGTGTGTGTGTGCCATTGTACTGTTATTCTTATTATTATTATTATCATCAACATCATCGTCGTCGTCGTCGTCGTCGTCGGCCGTCGTAATCGTAAACTCGTAACTACGAACTCGTAAGTGGCTCGCACGGAAACGACACGGACGCGCTGCTCCGTTTGACAACAAAATCGTACCAAATCCGTTTTTGAAAAATCGTCACTTCTCCGAGCTGTTGGTGCCTGGATATACGCGCCCAACACCGCTGTCACCGTTCGACGACGGTGCAGATAACACATCCAGGATTCGGTTTAGTTTTTCAAAACACTATGATGCAGGCGGACAAGTATGAATTTTGATGCCGAAACCTCGGTGAGTTGAGACGAATTTCTTTACAATAATAAAATACTATTCCTCGTCCACTGACGCAGCCTCTGCGTTCTCGGCAACACTACGGGAACCCCGGTGTAGAAGGCTTGAAAAGGCCACTCGAAAGTGGGACGTCCCAATTTTAATTTATTCAATCGGGTCAGTGATGATTTGGCAGGAACCATTTTTTATGGGAGAAAGCCTCGTGAATCAAACATAATATACACAATACACATAAGATGCTAGGGTTTACCATTTCGTGTTTAGGGCTTATGATAATTGATGCAGAGTGCCTATGTTCAAATTAATTATTGGAAGATAAGAAAAAATTGAATTTAACTTGGAACATTAACTATTTTAAGAATATAAGTCATGGGATCTTTTTTTTTTATCAATCATTAAACCTGCCAATAATATTAATATCTACGTATTATTATGATTTGTAGCAGCCAACATGGAAATTATGGGGTGAAGAAAGAGAAGAAGGTGCTGTCTACACAATTTATTTAAAAAAAGTGCGGTACCAAAATCCTACAAAAACATTACTGTTGGTACGATATTTTTAAACTAGTACCTAATTTGTTTTAAATTTATACCTGTTGGCTTATAATATTTGAATAAATAAATTATCTTGAATTTATTGTAGGAATCTGATGATGAACGATCGCATTTAGAATGGGAGACGATCAGAGTAAAGTTCATTAAAGCTGGAACAATAGAGAAATTGGTTAATAGTTTAGCATCAGATGACGGTGAATTAGAATCTACATTTGTGAATATATTTCTTGCCACCTATAGAACTTTTGCATCACCTCATCATGTTTTGTCATTATTAATTGAAAGGTATAAATATGATTTTATTTCTACATAATGTTCTGTATAAATATTTCTTTAAACAAGGTATATTTTGTTTTATAAGCTAATAAATCATAAAAGTTATATGATAATCTTATCTGATAACTATTTTAAATCTAACAATAATAGATATGTATTTATTAACATGCATGTAATACATCTATGTATATAAAAATGAAAGTATATGTTTCTATTTTCCAGTATAATGCAGTTTCAACCTAACATTGCATGCTTACTCTTTACTCTTTAGCCTCCAGGGGTGAGTTCGAAATCTCAAATATAGTTAACTCAAGTTATCCAACATCATTCAGCGTAACAAAGTTAACTCCGCCCTACCGCTTATGATATTTATCTAACAAAGATAACAAAACCAAAATCTTTATATTACTTTAAGCTTTATTTTTGTTCATTTTTAAAATATGTACCTTATGATTTTCTTATTTAAATCAAATAATGATCATTAAGAGCTAATTTTGTAACTTTTCATTTATCAATACAAAAATATTGATAAGAATACATCGCTCAATTATTTGGAGTAATCTGTTTTGAAATAAATTTGATAATCTAGAGTAAACTTAAGTCTATTTGTTATATTTAGTCTAACTAATCATTTTAGAATGCACCCCAGGTTGAAACATTGACTATATATTGTGATCACCATTCTCCTAGTTTTGAAACAACCAATTTTAAATATCTTAAATAACTACACCAATGTAGATATTGCTTTATACAACAAGTTGACTGCTTTACTTAATAAGTATTGAATTTAACACTTTCACTAACAGAGTAACGCAACACAAAGAAGTTTATAAGTATTTTTCATGTTTACCAATTTATTTTTAAGAGTATTTTTACTCAATTTACTTGTCTTGTAAGCTTTGATAGTTAAATTCATTCCTTATTTATTTGTTGGTTTAAATGTTTGGGACTTAGTTTATATCATATTGAAAACTTTGCTGTACACTGTAGAAAAAAACTAAATTCAATGATACTAAAATCACCATTTAATTTGATGTTTGTTAATTTTTCCCGTGTGGACTTTGGTATTCATAATTAATTGTGTGTCATATTTTATCATACTTCCATATGTTTTATTATTAATTTTATGTATATTCAACTAAAGCAAAAGAAACATATTTTTCAAAATTGAAATTTAGACTTTATAATATTCCTCAAAATATAATTTTCAAGACTGCACGGCTTCCTTATTTTCACACAGATCAAATAAAAATGTATATATACTAGTATGCCAATAAACCAAGTAATACAGTTCGTCATGATTGGGTTGAAGCCTTCCATATTAATAATGGAAACTATTTACAATAAATTAGGTACTTAAAGATTAATATTATTGAAAAAATCAATTTTAGTGTTTTCAAGAGATATAATTAATTTCATAGATTTATTTATACTCATTGTGTAATTATTTGTTATATTCTTTAAATAAAATATCAATTTATCCTGTGATTCTATTACATTTGTTTTGAAGTTTATACTTTCTAGTAATTCAAGAATAACTGATTATTTAATAATTTAAACAGAAATTGTAATATATGTTTGAAAAATAATAGTTTTAGTTTGGGTAAGTTAAAAATCCTTCAACATTTGAATAGCCGGTAAATTAAATTCTGTAAACATTAATATGAAAGACAACCAAGGAAATTGTATTGAATTTTAATTAACTTATAAGTTTGAATTAATTTGAGTGCAGTTATATCGATATAATTAAATACAATTAATATTTTATATATTATATTGTAATAAAAAATTTAAATAATACGATTTGTCATTTTACTATACATGTTTTTATTTTATTCTTTTTAGATATGAGTATTTGGTAAACAACAAAGAAGCCTTATCAGAATCAATGATCGATCCACATAAAAAGTAATTTCTTGATTAACTTTAAATTCTCTTATATACCTAATCTTATATTATTTTTTTTCAATTTTAAATGATAAAATATTTGTTTTATTTTTATATGATTAGTATATGGTATGGTTATGTAATAAGTGTAACACTATTTGATAAATGTATACAAATTAAAACATAATCATATAATTATACTTGTCATAATGAAATTAAGAATTGTAAATACTAAATTCAAAATTGTATTTTATTTTAGGACTGTTGTATCTGCATTACATGTTTGGTTGGATTCATATCCTGAAGACTTTCGCGATCCACCTTTACACACTTGTTTAAGATGTTTACATTCCTTTACTTTTACATATTTGCCAAAAACTGAACTTCACATAAAAGCAACGTATAGACTTGAACGATTCCTTAAAGAATGTAAACAATTAGGTTTGTTAAATTTACTTATTATTATTTTTTCAATATTAAGCTAATTATAAACAATTTCTAGACACTACTACATTTATTAGTGATGATTTCGACTTAGTTATTGCCAATTCTCCACATTCTCCTTACAATTTTCCTAACATAGCGGAAAGGCATTTTGCTGAGCAGTTAACTCGAATGGACCGTGTATGTTATTTTATTTTATTACCATATTTTATATCAAAATGTTTAACCTGTATTTAATTTATATAGGATGTCTTAAGAAGTATGGTTGCTCACCAATGTTTAGGTGCAGTTTGGTCTAAGAATAAAAGAGCAGGATCTGCACCTACAGTCCTAGCTACAATTGATCAATTCAACGCTGTGTCACTAAGAGTTATCAGTACTGTGATATTGGCAATCAATTCAGATAGACCACATGTTATTGAAACTTGGATTGATATTGCTCAAGTATAGTAATGATAGTATGTAATAAATTTTTTAATGAACTTAATTATTTTATAGGAATTAAGAGTCCTTAAGAATTTTTCCTCATTAAAAGCAATTATATCTGGCTTACAATCCAATTCAGTATTTAGATTAAAGAAAACATGGCATTCTGTTCCTCGAGACAAGGTAATACTGATTGAGTGAACTGTATAAAATAACATAGGTAAAATATTTCTAATCAATCTATGTACATGAAAAAAATCCCTAGGTGGAATTGTTTCAAGAACTTGCACGGATATTTAGTGAAGATAATAATCAATGGGCGCAACGAAAATTATTAATTAGAGAAGGAACAGCAAAATTTGCCGACACATTTGGACACAATGATAGACATTTACAAAAAATTATTCAAAAGCAGCAAAGTACAATGAGTGTGAGTTACATTGTGCATTATATACAGAAAATAATACCCAATTATTATTTTTTTTCATATTTTAATGAAGTAAATGAAATATTTTTAGAAGTTAAACATTGGAACTATACCGTACTTAGGGACATTTCTTACTGATTTGACTATGATTGATGCCGCAACTCCCGATCTCTTGCCTGATGGTCTAATTAATTTTGATAAAAAAAGAAAAGAGTTTGAAGTATTAGCTCAAGTATGTATATAATTTTTAGATTCTGTTTAATATAAATATTTTAACTATCTGTAATTGTCTTAAATATGTTTATCTTAATTGTTTGTGTATTAGATTAAGCTTCTTCAAGGGGCAGCAAATTCATATAACATAACTGAGGATTCAGTATTTGATCAATGGTTTCATTCCATTTTAGTTTTGGATGATAGAGAAGCTTTCAGAATTTCTTGTCAAATAGAACCATCAGATAATATACCATCATCGTGTGCGAATTCAATAATAGGAACTGGAAAGAAACAAAAGTATATTAAGTATAATGTGCACAAATTTTTAAATTATTAAATCAAAATATGTATGACTGATTACTATTTAAAGATATTTTTTACAGTTATGAACATAAAAAGAATGATTCAATTTCAAGTAATTGTAGCAGCAAAAGCTTGTATGGATTATCCGATGATGGTTTGCACTCACCAAATAACTCTTTAGATAAACAGGTAAAAATATATACTTCAGGAATAATACTTAAACTAAATGATTAGTGTTTGTTAAGTCTTTATTTCATATTCTGATTATCGACTCAACAGAATATATTACACTTAAAAACTTGAGTCCAAATATACAACTTTTATATAGTTTATGATACATACAAACACTCAAAACATTTTAAATATTCTATGCTAGTTCTAAATATGAACATAAGACTTTGAGATTATGAATTATATGACTTATATTTTATAAAAACTGACAAAAAGCAATAAAAACCAATCCTAGAATTATTTTGGAGATTTTTAAACAACAATAGTACAAACAATCATAAATTACCTTAATTTACCTTACGTAATGTCTTTTTTAAATAAGAAAGTTAATAATGGAAAAGACATAATAAATGTATTTAAAGATTATTTCTCAAGTACTTATGTCTTAAATAATAATGTTCATCCTCATAGTTATTTAGAAGAAAATAATATAAATCCTATTTCAAAAATTGTCCTGAATCAGATGATTGTTTTAAAAAAATTATGCAATATATCTTAAAAAAGCAATGAGTCCGACAAAATATCTCCAACATTTATGAAAGAATGTGTATTCATATTTACTCCCATTATTAATGTGTTATTCAATAAATCTTTAGACTCCTGTATTTGACCTAATCAAAGCAAGTTATAATTTGCTACTTCTATTTTTTAAAAAAATGTGAAAATCTAATAAATAATTACCATCCATTATTCCCAAATTATTTTCTAAAATGGTATTTAGCATTATTACGCCATTATGCGATCCATTATTATCAAATAACCAACATGGTTTAAATAAAATAGATGAACAATAACAAAACTTGAGCTCATTCAAACAATCAATCGTGTGATACTCAATCAAAAACCTCCGCTGTGCACACTGATATGAAAAAAAAAGTATTTCAAAGGATAAATCACACATTTAATTAATAAACTTAAATCTAATAGGTTTTCTGAACCACTTATTTAGGGTTTTCACATGTTCATATCAGGCTGTACATAAATAATCAAACATGGAAACTATCTTCTGAACAAATACATATTTTTTTTGTTTTTCCCCGTTCTTTTGAAAACTACTGAGAATTTTAAATTTTGACCTTCCCAATGCACCAACTAGATCCACTTTGCCTTCGAACAAGATACCAAGTTGAAAATCAAAGCATTTGTATTGTCCCAAATTGTGATGACAGGCACAAAAATAAAAATAAAAAACTTCATTTTAAAACTATTACATTCATTGCTCCGCTCAGAATCTAAAATTGTTGTGAGAAAAACTTATTTTATAAAAAATATTTTAATGTCTGCTGGTACCTATGGGAAAATATTGATTTTTTAATACATCTTTAGAATTTACAGTTCAGAGTTTAATAACTATATATTAAACTGCAGGGCTTGAAACCGCTCCTGAAGAAATAGTTTTGAAAATTTTTTGGAACCGGTTACCGGTTATCGAGGTTTTTAGAAATAATGATAGTCATTTCCCGCTTACCGAAATAAATTTTATAAATGGGATTACCGGTTATCTATTTGGAAGCGGTTTTAAATCTTCAAAATTACCGGTTACCTCACAAAACCATTTTTTTTTTTTTTGTTTTAATACCTACTCTATTTTTTTTCATCAAACTTAACATGTTTAGTATAGTACTACACAGTTTTGTTCAGTATTACTATTATTTTATTACGAACTAATGTAACGAACTTATTATTAAATAATGAATATCAAAACAGTCCCTGATTATAAGTTATAACGTACCTATTACCTAGTACTTGGTACAATATCGTACATGCAAGAGTTAAGGCGCCTTCACAGCTCCCCGTGAAACGTGAAACGTGATATATTCTAGAACTGTGATTGGTTGAACCATGTGGTTATCTAATGGTTAACCAACATTTTTTTCTTATAATACCTTATCTTATACTGTATAGTTGAGTTCAATCCTACTCAGAGCGTGTGTTTACCGTATGGTTGACAGTCGTGGTTAAGAATATTTTTACGGGAACAAATTATATATTATCACATTTCACGGTGAGCTGTGAAGGCGCCTTTAAGGGGGGTTCACACTACACCTTGTCGTGTAAAATAATCACGGTTACCACAGTTACCAAACGATACCGCATAGTCAGTGCCGTAACTAGGCTACTTGAGGCCTGTGTACAAAACTAAAATATTGAGGCCCCCTTATTATATTTTTCAATACACACCTCAAAAACTTTTTTTGCAATTTTTAAAGTCAGCAAACTAAAATTCGGGCTTAAACAAAAAAAAAAATTTTAATTTAAAATAATCTATAATTTTAAAACAATTTCTCAAGGCTATAACTAACTCAAAAAAGTAAAAATTTTCCAAAATGTAATTTATTGAAAATATTTGCTGAAAACTTCAATGGTCTACGGTTATTAGTTTTCGAGTTTTACCAAAAAATAAAATTTTTGGTTTTAGGTAAAAATGACAATTTTTTTTTTTTTATTGACGCTTTGTTATATCTAAAACGACTAAAACTAAAAATGTCAGTCTTGATCTCCAAAAAGTACCAACTAGATTCACTTTTCTAACAGAAAAAATGCTGATTTCGAAATTCGGAATATTTTTACTACCCAATGTTGATGACCGACAGATATGAAAAAAATTCTACACGTCTTGTAAAATCAATACATTTGTTCGTTCCTCTCAAAATCTAAAAACAGTGATCACGACTTCATGCTATATAAAAAAAATGAAATAACATTGGTTTCGTTTCCAAATCAATAATAAATAATTTATATATTTTAATAATTGTATATTAGTTTAATATTAGTCTTTAGATCTTTTGAGGCCCTTCGATATATTATGAGGCCCGAGGCCTGTGTGCGGTGCACACTTTGCATACCCGGTTTTTACGGCACTGCGCATAGTTGAATATATTCAACTATGCGGTATCGTTTGGTACCTAACTGTGGTAACCGTGATTATTTTACACGACACGGTGTAGTGTGAACCCCCCTTTAAATACTATTATATATATATGTATCAGCCCGCATTCGTCGATGTTTCTACACGAATGGATCTTCGCAAGAAAAAATTTTTTGTGTCCGTATACATATTGCCTACATTTAGCCCCTTTTTTGCAGTTATCAAAATGTGATAACATTGATAAACCGATAACATCATTTTCATTATAAATTATAATATTATATTTTATTATATTAATTATAATTAAAATAGTTAAATACATTAATAGTTAATAAATAATAAGTTATTAAAAAACACAATATCGTAATTTAAAATTTAAAAATACACAATTCATTGAGCATACAGTATAAATGTACAACCTATTTACGTGGAACTACTATTTAAATTTTCAATCTTTAGCTATGAAAGTTAAATTATATAATAAAATTTTAAATTTGATGAATATTTTCAAAATTGGAACTAATACAAAGATAGCAATTGTGTAATGATATTATTATTATTACAGTACACAAATATTGTTATAAAAATTATGTTATTATAATAACATAACTATCCAACTAACATAATATTTATTCAGTAATTTAATAATATTATTTTATAGATATTATAGTAAAATTATTTTTTATGTATGCTAATAATAATATTATTTAAAAAATATAATAATCAAGCTATTATAATAAAGAAAGTATATTATTATAATTATTATGAATCTTGAACATAATTTAATACCCTTTGAATAAAAATCAGTATAGATGGTAGTATAGTATCATATAAAATAAAATAAGCTGCAAAATCGAGCTGGGACTATAAATGAAGAAAAACAAAAACATATTTTAAAACATTGCAATAAAATTATTGAATTGAAAAAAACAAACGAATCAAAACCTATGCAAACTGAAGATATAAATACAATTAACATAAAAAAAAATATTGAAAAACAACCATGTTTCTTTACTAAAAATAAAAAAAAATAAACTTGAATTTCATCAATTGTCGTCGAGTGAAGGTAATATAATAAGAAAATCCTTATTCCTTACTAAATGATACAAGTGTTTTAAATGTTCATTCATATGACGATCATTCTTATAGCGCTAAAAGAAAATGAATTTCTTAATATATTGTTGAATTGTATCTTTTAAATGAAGATCATAAGTGAATAATGAATATTGTGTTTTTTTTCGAATTGTGTATGATTAAATTTATTAACTATTAATGTATTTAACTATTTTAATTATAATTTATAATGTAAAAATATTATGTTAGTTGGATAGTTATGTTATTATAATAACATTATTTTTATAACAATATTTGAGTACTGTAATAATAATAATTTCATTACACAATTGCTATCTGGGTATTAGTTCGAATTTTGAAAATATTAATCAAATTTAAAATTTTATTATATAATTTACTTTTTATAGCTAAAGATTGAAAATTTAAAATAATGTTCCACGTAAATAGGTTGTACATTTAATGTCATTTATACTGTATGCTCAATGAATTGTGTATTTTTAAATTTTAAATTACGATATTGTGTTTTTTAATAACTTATTAACTATTAATGTATTTAACTACTAAAATTATAATAAATATAATAAAATATAATATTATAATTTATAATGGAAATGATATTATCGGTTTATCAATGTTATCACATTTTGATAACTGCAAAAAGGGGCTAAATGTAGGCAATATTATATACGGACACAAAAAATTTTTTCCTGCGAAGATCCATTCGTGTTTCTACCATTCGTATCAGTATTCAGTACCTATATCATAGGTACTGACTACTGAGAATCTTTTGTCAGTGCGCCGATACGATTCCGCAATCAAACACGCTTGTTTTGGTATTTTTAAATTTTAATACTAAGTAGTTCTAAAATAATCTATTTTAGTATATTATAAATATTATTTTCTTCTATTTAGAATATTCAATATAATTAAAAAAAAATTATTTTTACGTTAATTGGTTTGAGATTTACGGTTTTGTGTACTTCCGATTAATTAACCGGTTCTAAATATAAACGGTTACCGTTATAGATTTCCCCCTTTATCAAATTCCGAGATTACCGGTAATTGATAACCGCTTCTCAAAATTGAAACTCGAGAACCGGGAAGCGGTACCAGTCCAAAAAGTACTCATGGTAACCGGTTACCGGGAAAAATCGGTTACCGGTTTCAAGCCCTGTATTAAAGTAATTGGAAGTAAATTTATATGTTAATACAAGAAAAAAAAGGTGGGCAAGTGGGTGTCGCTCTGCTGTACAGTAAGTTACAAGTGGGTCACTGTATAATGGATGATATTAAATTTGAATTCAACGATTTAATATCATTGTATAAGAAAAACGATTCTGAGCGGAGACGCTATGTCAGTCTATGTATAAGACAAATTATATACATAATAAATTCCAAATTAATCATATCACAATAGGTACATTAGGTACTTAGAACGCTTTATACATCAACAAAAACCGTGATACTATCATAGATATATAATAGTACACTTTAGAAGTTTCAAGTACAAACGAATAATATTATACAATCACAACAAAATAACTAAAATAGTTATTCTAGGTTTTTTAATATGTAATTTTGTCCAAATATGAATTTAAAATGTCTGTAAAAAATAACTGTGCTCATATATTTTTTAGATTTTTTGGCTACAGTATGAACTATTTATGATTATCTTTTTTTTAAATTTTCAATCCTTAGATATAAAAACTGAACATTTTATAATTTTTAATTACGATGATTGATAATTTTCGAGATTTTGATAAATTTTGTCAAAATGCGATCTTTAAATGCTTATAAAAAAAAATTGTGCTTATGTATTTTTAATATTTTTCAATTGCTATTGTAACAATATATCAGGAGCCTTGTATTAATTTTTTACACTTTTCGGCCCAACAGATAAAACTTTATTGATATTTATAGAAAAAAAAACTGAAAATGTCGGTAAACGGCTCAAAAAGAGTCAAAATAATTTCAAAATTGTATGGTGTATAGGAAATGCTAATATATACATTCAGTGAAATTTTCATGTATCTACAGTAATACGTTTTTGAATTACAACAAAATAAGGAAATCGCCACATGAGAAATCGAGTGAATATCCAATGTTGTAAAAATTTGAATTTCAAACGCTCATACAAATTTAATTTGACTGTCCGGTATAGATTTTTTTATTGATAAATGTAGGAAATCTTATAAGGAATCTTTCATTACATTTTCATATCTTAGATTTAAAAAGAAAAATTTTTATGAATTTCTAACTCGAAATATTTTGCAAATTTTCGTGATTTTTCCATATTTTGTCATTTTTTGAACTTTAAATGCTTAAAAAAAAAAACTGTAACTAACGATTTTTAATATTTTTCATCTGTCTTTGAAACAATATAGTAGGAGCCTTGTTTTAACTTTTCAAGTATTTTTACTCAACAAATAAATTTTTATTGATATTCATAAAAAAAAAAACTAATAAAATTATTGGAAACTGAAAATGTCCCTAAACAGTTCAAAATAAATCAAAATATTTTGAAAATGTTATCGTGTATAGAAAATGCAAATATAAACAATCACTGAAAATTTCATGTATCTACGGTCATTTGTATTAAAGTTACACCAAAAACCAAAATCGATTTTCTCCAAAACAGATTTTGCGTAAAAATTCCCGTTTTTCCTTAATTTTTTTTTTTGTTTTTCCCGGCGCTTTTGAAAACTACTGGGAAATTTAAATTTTGACCTCCCCAATGCACCAACGATAAATTCACTAGAAATTCACTAGAATTCACTTTCTAATCGAACAAGATATGAAGTCGAAAATCGAAGCATTATTTCGACTACTTATCGTGTACACAGACACAAAAAAAATAAAAAAACACACATCATTGTAAAATCAATACATTCATCGTTCCACTCAGAATCTAAAATGTGATTTTTTTTGTTTTTAAATTGTTAAAAATTATCAAATATACCTAGTTATGAATATTTTGTATTATAAAACATATTATTTCCAAAAATTAAATTTTATTATTATACAAGTGGTTTCATACTAAGACAAAGTTAGCACATTAAAATAAAACATAAAGCTTACTTAAAACACTGTAATTAAAAATATGGAAATAAAAGTATGCAATACTACAATAAAATATCAGATTGAAAAACTATATTAATTTAAAACTCTGGACTCTAATATTTGTTTAGTATTTAGGGTGTAACAGAAATACCTAACAAAAACTAATACTAGCTAAATTACTAACTGCAATTTTAAATATTTAATTAATAATTGTAATGGTTTGGATTTAAAGGCAATAATATAATCAGTAAAAAAAGCATTCAAAATGTCAAAAAGACAAAAAAAAAACATTTAATTTATATAGAAAAGCAATTACAAAAACAAATTACAAGAAAATTAAATAGTCTGTTTATTAGATATTTAACTAGTGTTTATTTCAAATCCAAACCTCAATAATTATCATTTAGGAAGTATCTACATATTTAGAAAAAAAAAAATGAAAAGAATAAAAGTTACTATAAACAGTTAGTTAATTACATCTATTAGTTTTGTCTGTTACACCCTGTATAATAATAGATATTATTGCATTCAAAACTAATATTTAATCAACACTTTAGACCAACGAGTGTAAATCCAATGAGTTAATTACTATAAAGAATAATATTATTCATACAAAATATATATTTTTGAGTTGCAGGATTCATTGCTAGACCTATCTTCTTCATCAAGTAGCTATTCTTTGCAATCTTTTGACATGTCACTAAATGGAAGCAATAACACTAATATCTTAGTTAAAAATAATGTCAATAACTCAACATTTAACACTTCGTCTGATTTTTATATTATTCGAATAACGGTTGATGCTGATAATGTGGAGACTGATGGTACGTACAAATGTTAAATTAAACTATATTTTTAAGCTTCATTTAAATTTTTATTATAATAATATTATACTATTTTTAATTAGTTTTTAATAGTTTGATATATTAGATTGAACTGTTTAAAACATAGTTGCTTTTAAAATATTATCGGAATCAAGGTCATAAAAAAATATTTTTCCTTATACACTTTTTCATTTCCAGAAATCTGAAATTTTAAATTGATATAGAATATAAATAAAATTATTTGATTAATTCACGTTATTAAGCATGGCTTATGGTGGGGAAATGATCGACAACAGATATTAAAAAATACCAAATTAAAATCAAAAATAATATTATTAATTCCTATACAAAGTGAATTTTCTAACTATAACTATGACTAAAGTTTACATGTTTTCTATTATGTAATTAAATATAATTTTTAAATACATAGTTGAACCTAGATAATCTATGAAATGTTTACCAAAATATATTTTTTAATCAACTGCACGTAACCCACAAAAAATGAATTAAAATAAACATCTTTAAAAAAAAATGTATTTTAATTATTCAAAAATGTGTTTGACATACAGTGTAAGACACTAAGACTTTAAAAAAAAAAAAAAAATTCTGTAATACTTATTATTTATTTTATCATTTTAGGGGTTGTATTATACAAAAGTATTATGTTGAGTAACAACGAACGTACACCACAAGTTATTAGAAATGCTATGCTGAAATTTTGTATTGATGATGACCCAGAAAACTACACCCTATCTCAAGTTTTACCTGATAAAGGTTTGTTTACCTATTATTGTATTTCATGTGATTATTCTTTACTACATTTATTTTTAATATTTATATTTCAGAAATGATTTTACCAATGACAGCCAATGTGTATTATGCAGTAAATACAGAATATGATTTGAACTTTTTGCTACGTAAAAAAACATGGAAAAACAACACAATTCCTAAGAAATGAATATTTTCTTAAAACGGACGTGTGATATATTGTTATACATAATTAAATTTAATATTTTATGTAATCGACTGTTTTGTGTATAAAAAAAAAGACAATCAATAAAATAAATAATAATTCTGTATACAATTTTGTTAGAGTATATAAAAATAGTATTGCCAGGAATCTCAGGGTATACGGAAATTAAATAAGTTGTACCAATGAACCTTGTAAATGATAATTGTCACCAATTTTCTTTAATAAACAGTTTTTTTTCTGTGTATACAACTATTGGAAACAATAATTGTTTTGAAGTTTTGAATAATTATTCATCTGTTCCTTCGAGCTATTAAAAATGTCAAATAGTTGTTATTTCTGACTATTCTCAAGTTGACAAAATGCAATCCAGAAAACTAGGTTGCCCTTCTTAATAACCTTGCTGAAATAAGACTGATTACTTTTGCAAACTCTTGGGACTGGAAAGAACTATATTTTGATTTATTTAAATTAATGCCATTCAGCATTTGAAAAAAAATATTAGCAATTTCAATTAACAGATTTTATGATAAGTTATACATTAGATAATGAGGTATACACAATTAAAATTAATCTAACAGACAATATAAATACTTTTAAAATTATAAAATATATAATAGTAGGCCAAGATACGAAAAGTTATACATTGGCATCATCCATACTAGAAGTTAGTTGACAGCTGCTTTAGCCTCCCTACTGATGAGAAATTTTTTTTTTTTTGGCGAGTTGCGTCAAACTCAAGAAAATTTGAGTCAAAACATATTTTAGTTAATTGTTTTTAATACTTGAAAATTTAATTCAAGCTTCTTTAAAAGTTTCTGGAACAAGAATTACAAAAAAAGTTGAGTTTAATTGAATGGTGTTATGCAGATAGCAACCAACCTTAAAAAACATAAATAATGATCTTTGTATACTACTACTTTTTTTTTTATAGATTTGAAATTTTATATTACGCATTTTACTAATTGCAACCAACTCACGAGTCAGTAGGAGAGCTATCTATCAATGTTCAAAGATCAAACTGAATGAGCTAGCTAACAAAACAATATTATGCAAACATCCATGGTCCATGCCACATGGTTTTCTAATGGCGCTCATACTGTGAAAAACGTACTATCACAGTATTAAAATTGTATTGGTAAGTCATTGAAATATATACATCCAATTAATAAGATAATATATTGGTTTTAGGTCATATAAGGTAATAATTAACATAAACAAATTTAAAAACGTGATTTTCCTTGAATTATTGAATTATCTCTAAATAGAACAGTTACTTTCTGCATAACTCGCAGTTTAAATTTGAACGAAATTGGATATTCACGAATAATATAACAATGAATATCAGAAGACATTTAAAATATTTTAGCCACTTAAGTATAAACATTTGAGACTGAGACCATCAATTTTCTTTTATATGTAAATATAAGACTTGTCAAAACTATGAAAATAAATCATCAGTTAAAAATGTATTAAAATGTTTAATTTTAAAAGCAATGGCTTTAAAATGTAATACAAGGTTCCTCCTTCCTCATAAGTATAACTTATATTGGAACCCAAAATTTGATAAAATGTCAAAACTACATTTTTTTTTATAAACATTTGATGTTCAAATTTGCATAAAATTAGATATTTATAAATGAAGAATAACGTTGGTAGTACTGTTAAGTCCGTATAGATTATGTATCACACAACATGACTTATAGGATAGGTATAATCTAGTATCTACTATGACCAAATACATTTATTTAGTCATGGTATCTACTATAATCTAACGTGATCTCACCATGGTTGCATGGTATAAATACAAAAAACTAGTTTTAGTCCAGCATATTCTTAGTAGGGATATTCTCCCTACTATTCAACACGTTTACTATTACATCGTAGTTCTCGGCATTTCATTAGGATATTATTGTACCTATACGGCGACTACGCTTCTACGCGAAAGTGCTCGTGATAAACGACGTGGCAAGGGTGGTATGCGTATCACAAAGTTGTGATCATGCCTATTGTCACAGAATATAATAATATATAAAACTTATTGTTCGACATTATTATACCTAGGTATTGGTCAATGAAAACTGAACAGACAAAACAATGGGTCATGACTGTTCGCAATGTTTGCAATTTTGCATTGTTTCGCAAGACAGTCGGAATTTCCAACGTTACTACGGTCCACATAAGAGTAGTACACTTTTGCGCATGCATACTATAGGCATTCCCCCACTTTGTGCCATTTATTGTATGTCAAATACGTGGCGATGCGCGGAATCGAACATGTTTTCGTTGGGCGCAGTAATCATCTTGTGGGCCGCAGTACAGAATTTGATCTCGGTTTGGTGGTCTTGTAAAATACGTTATATCATGGGCCAATGTGAAACCTGTGATCGTGATTTCTATATTTCAAAAATGTGAGTATGTATAGTTTATTAGATTATGATCTATCATAAATTAATTTAGTTTGGTTATTTAGGTTAGTCATTTCAATGTATCGTGTGCTATAATATAGCAACGTGTACCTATAAAATAGTAAATCGAAGATAATTCCCCCCCCCCACCGATATATTTTTGATGCTGACATTTCCCCCCCACCATTTTTTTTTAAAGTTTACTATTTAATAATATAATATTATTATTTAATATGAATATATTTAAGCCTATTATCCAATATTTTAAAAAGAATCAGAATTAAAATGGTTTTTACAAAATGTATCATTTTTATGTCGGAATTTTTTACCATTTTTATTATTTATTAATTATATTTTACTTCATACCTACTTATTTTTTTTTTTTATTGTTTCATGTAAGTAATTCAGTTGATCAAACATATATTTATTATCTAATATATTTATGAAAATAAAAACAATTTTATATATTTTATATTTTATTTTAAAAAATATTTCATATTAAATAATAAATGATATTATATTAGGTATTCAATTCAATATTATTAGTAAATAATTAACTTTAAAAAAAAATGGGAGGGAAATGTCTGCATAAAAAATAATATCGTGGAGGGGGAGGAATGTCCATTTACCGTACCTATTACCTACCTATATTATATTCTTTAATTGTGATTTTAATAAATAAAATGATTGTAGTACGAACAATGACCAGAAGCCACGAAGATAATTTATAATTAGTAAGTTTATTGCTTACACTATTTAGTATTTACCAACTACGAACCACTGAATCACATTTTGGTAATTTTTGTAGGTAAACACAACAATAGTTACCTACTTTTTTTTCTTAGTGTTAACGACTCATTTATTTTTTTTACAGAAATTTACAATTTTCAATTTTCAACTACTACACTACCGCTCAGAAAATCTCAGCAAAGCAAACAGCTTATAATGGCAGTGACATCTGAAGACATTAAAGACTTCATCATCAATCCATTTTCACTAGTCAAAATGCAATTATCTCAATTTGCACTGAGGGCTGAGGATATAGCCTTTGCAACAGAAAATGACCCAACACTGAGAATATTGTACAAAAACATGCTTCTAGATTCAAACAAATGTGGCAATTTTTGGATACATGATGGATGCATTCTATATGGCACACGGATTTGGATTCCAAACATTTTACAAAATTATATTTTAGAATATATACATATAGAACATGTAGGTGTAATTAGGATGATATTATTAGCACTTTCATATTGTGTCTACTGGCCAAGTATTGATGAAGACATTGAACATCTTGCAAGAAATTGTCTTCAATGCATCGAAATACAACTTACGCCACATAAAGAAAATGTGCTTAATTGGGAGGTTCCCAAGAAGCCCTGGGAAAGAATACATATTGATTATGCTGGTCCATTTATGGACAATTTGTTTTTATTGGTTGTTGATGAATATTCTATGTGGCCAGAAGTTTTTATCTCAAAGTCTTCATCTGCATCAAACACTATTGAAAAATTAAAATTATTGTTTTCTAGTTTTGGTCAACCCAGAGTTCTTGTTAGTGATAATATATCCTCTTTTATGGGAGAAAAATTTCAGATTTTTTTGGAAAGTTGTGGTATAGAACACTGTACATGTGTTCCTTACGATGAAAAATCATATGACAATGTGGTAAGATTTGTATTTGCCTTGAAACATGCACTCATAGAACTCAAAGGTCATGTCAGTTCTGTACAAGATGAACTGAATACATTATTGTTCACATGCAGACGTTCACGGATCACACCTACTATAGAAAGTCCAGCAAAGTTGTTTTTAGGACGAGGTTTAAGATCTAACCTGAAATTATTCAAATCACCGGCAATTAGGAACAAAGTCAAGAAAAAAAAAAAATATATGAAATATAAATCTCCATCTCAATTATTCCACTTTGGTCAAAAAGTAGCTGTATATAATGATGTAAATGGATTTATAATTAATGCAGATGTCTCAAAATATCTGATAGTTATGGTGAATGGAAGATTGATTCGCCATCATATAGATAATGTGATTCCTTTACCAGTCATTAAATCATTTTCAAAGATTCAAATAGACACAAAACCGGTCCGACCTAAGAGGCTAAAGAGATCAATCACACCAATAAAACGATTAATTTTATAAGTAAAATTAGGATGTTTATGACTTTTTCGTATTTTTTTTTTTTAGTTGTGCATGTGCAAATTGCAGACCAAGTTATAAATTAATTTTGTATGGCATAGAATCATATAGGTATACATTAAATTTTATTTATTTTATTATATTTAAGGATTTTTATGAATAAATGCATATTTTAATAAATAAATTAAAAAATCAATAAATATACATATTTTAAGTCAGAAAAACTAAAAACTAAATTATCTAAACACATCGGTAGGCATTGAAGCATTGTTGGTTTTACTGCTAACTTAAACCAGAAAATATGAAAAATGTAGTTTTTAACAACTTTATCTTTACTTATCAGTTATCTTTACTATTATGCACTGATGCATTGATTATGTTCATACACACACACAATTAATGATATTTTATGACATGCATGTTATGTACATACGCTTGATTGTACAATTTTGTACTACACTTACATTTTTACATTATTTTAAATTAATCTTTTTATACTATTGCAATAAATATATTTTTAGTGTTAAATATATACAATATATTCATTACACACATAACAGGTACCTACGTATAAAAATATAGGTACTAATATATTGTGCATATATGCATATTTTAATAATGGCCAATAGGTTTAGACTTTTATTAGTATAAATAACAACTTACCAGTTTTCAGTAATGAAGCCAGGCCAAGTTGTTAAGGACCTTATATTAAATATTAACATTTTTCTTAAGGGGACTCCAGCGTATCATGTTTTAAGGAGTAATATTTAGGCAATTTGTGAGACATTTAAATTTGGACTATGTTTATTGTCTATGTATGAGAAGTAAATGAACACTAGTGTGTGTAATCCATTATCAATTTTGTCACAATGCCACCCTCGCGTTTCACAAAATATGGATACCTGGAACTACGATAGTAATAATAATAATACCTACTACCTAGTACCTACCTACCTGTTAAAAATTTTAAAAATATAATACAATTAATAAAAATGCTAGACAGCCTTCTCGAAGACCAGATGTTCAGAAGACCATCTGATGATGGTAATTAATGATTACTTATGGTTTATAAATTTAATTTTAAATGAAAGATAAATTATTAATAATATAATTTTCTTCAATTCAATGATTCTGAGCAGAGCATATTCAATATATTATAATATAGTATATTATACGAATTCTTTCTTTATTGTAAATTGTTTCAGTGGCGGTCAAATTATTTTGTCATGGGGGGGTCCATGGCTTATTTTTTAACAAATGCATTATTTTATCATTAAAAATAAAATTTATGCCTTATGGTATGTCTAATATAAATGGTGAATACAACCTTTATTTATAACTTAGGTATACAGACTGAATCGCGGGCATTCCCCCCCCCCCCCGAACATTTTCCCACCATTTTTTTTTTAAAGTTTACTATGTAATAATAATATTTTATTATTTAATATGAAGTTATTATTTTGCCTATTGTCTAATATTTTCAAATATTTTCAGAAATATAATAGATTATAGATGTATATGTTTGATCAACTGAAATAAACAAAAAAAAAATTATGAACAAAGGCTAATAAATAAGTGTTTAGAAATAACAAAAGATTTAGTAATCAAATGTTTTTTACAAAATTTATCATTTTTATTGTATTTCCATCCGCCGAGCGTTCTGCAGAAGTAGGTAGACATAGGCGCAATTTCAACTTTAGACTTGGGGGGGCTGAATATATTAAAGGCAGGTAGACCATTGCAATATAGCATTTTAAAATTGTATATCCTAGGTTTTTGGGGAGCTAGGGCTAAGTTTGGGCTTATCCCCCCCCCCCAATTTGAACCTATGGAAGTAGAGCAATTTGCATCAAAATAGCAAGTAATTTTCCTTTTATTAGATATAGTAAAATAAATACTAAATAATAATTATTGTGAAAATATAAAAAGACAAAATAGTCAATATTACAAAAGACACCGACCGTGTAATAGTAATATACTTTAGTACACTACACGGACCCACAGTAGAAAACACGAATACGAAAGAGTAAAGACGAATCACAGCGATAACTAAATATTATGAGTTATGACAAATAATAAGCAATCGATGTTTCAAGTTTTTAACCAACTAATGACTTCGGACTAGATCTACGTAATATTGTAAGATATACGTATACCTACCAATCGCATTACCGCCCGTATGGGCCAATGTTCTGGGAAAGTGTAGAGATGGTTGTTATTGTTATTGAGAATTCTCGATCATCGAGTGAGATAATTACCATATTATATTTTTTTTAAATAACTAAATATTAATAATAATAGTAATAGATATCCTAGTTTTTTAGTTTTTATATATGAGTCTAGATAATAATATAGTCAATATTATTCATGTCATATAAACACGTATAAACATATCTTGACATTCTGTCGAAATTTACAATAGTTGATAATTTGTTTTTAGAAAAAAAATAGAACAAAATTTAATGCATTAAAGAGTATACTATAAATTGTTATAAATATTGAAAAAATTCATGGGGGGGGATATATCCCCCCCCCCGTATGACCGCCACTGAATTGTTCAATCGGTGTTTTTTAACCTAAGTGCACTTAACTTACAACTAGTTATTCACCCAAAACACCATGGTTGCAGTCTGCAGTCTTTACCAATTTTGTAAAAGAATGAAAAAAAGTACAAACCACCGGAAACTTACGGACAACTTTACTGATCAGAGTATAGTGTTATAAATAAAATTAAATAAAATGATTCATAGGTAGTATATTATACTCTATATTCCTATTATATTGGTTGTATTTAATTTTGGAAAAATACCACCGTTACTCCAGCATTGCGATTTGCCAAGTTTGAAACTGAATATCAAAATTATCCAGTATTATGTATTTTATTTTGTAAACTTTTGTACACATCTCCTAACACGAGAAAACTCGATTCTCTCATATCCGTGCAGCGTTAACGTTAGGTACCCCAGCACTGCCCATGACCAATTACTATCAAATCAAAATACAGTATCATGTACAGCTAATATTTTGAAAATGTTATCAAGTATAGGAATCAATAAATCAATATATGATATAAATCCCAAGTGTTACTATAGTTATTCGTTCTTGAATTACAGCAAAATAAGAAAATCGCTACATGAAAAATTGAATGAATATCCAATGTTGTAAATATTTGAACTTCAAATGCTCATAAAAATTTGATTTGACTTTCTTATAGACATTTTTTTTTTGATAAAGGTAAGTAATGAGGAATGTTGTACTAGATTTTAAAATCTCAGACTTCAAAAGAAAAATGTTTAGGAATTTTTAACTCTTTTTAAATGATTTGCAAATTTTTGTGATTTTAACGCCTTTTGTTAAAATTCGTACTTCAAAAGCTTATAAAAGAAAATTATGACTATAGATTTTTAATATTTTACTAATGTTATTGTAACAATATATTAAGGGCCTTGCATTAAATTTTAAAGTTTTTTTTACCAAACAAATAAAGTTATATTGACATTAGTAGAAAAAAAAACTAAAAAAATTGAAAACTGAAAATGTTCCTAAACAGTTCAAAACAAATCAAAATATTTTGTTATCGTGCATAGATAATGCGAGTACAAACAACCAGTGAAAATGTCATGTGTATACGTTCATTTGTTACACTTAAAACCAAAACCGATTTGGTCGAAAAACAATTTTGTTTAAAAATAAACGTTTTTCCTTAATTTTTATGTTGTTTTTCCCTGCGCTTTTGAAATCTATTCGGAATTTGAAATTTCGACCACCCCAATGCACCAACAATATTCACTTTCCCATTGTACAAGACAGTGGCGTGCCCAGGAAATTTCAATGGGGGGGGGGGGATATAAGTTATAAATTTTTTAGTAAAAGTATATTTAAATTAATCATGGTAATCCAAACACAAAAATTGCAAAACATATGTACATTCATGCATATTAAGTATCCTCCTACAATTAGAATTAATTTAAATAGCCACACACTATACACTATTGTTTAAATAAAATGACAACATTAAACTAAAAACATTTATAACCTTTATTAAAATAATTAATATACAAAAGAAAAATAATTCAGAAAAACAATTTAGAAATAGGATTTTGAGGATCTTCGGATTCTGTTTTAGAACATGTGATTGAGACCATAGGTTCAGGATCATCAATGGTATATCATCATCATCATCATCAATATGTTGAGTTTTAATTTGCTATATCAAAAATTTAAAAATTTAATTGGTTCGTTTTTTGGATTAGCTAATTTTACTATTTTACTATAGCTTAAGGTGATTCAATATTTTATAACATAAAACAATAATAAATACATTGATTATTTATTTAATATAAATGCAAACATTAAACTTCACTATTATAATTAAATTACATAATATAATATTAAACTACATAATTGTATACCTAATACTTTATAAACTTATTTTTTTCATAATATTATTTACATTCTTAATATTTCAATACCAACTTACCTTCTGATCAGCTTTAGGTTTCTTTGAAAAAAATGACATAATCGATCCATCACGTTTTGCCATTATTAATAAAAGAACTTAAAATTGTTAAATGTCAAATATTTAAATAATAAATAAAAATTTTTGTAAGTATGTTGTATGTAGGTATAGTGCACGGACTAAGATATACAGGACTGGACACGACAAGGTTGGAGGGTGTGGGGGGTTGACTACGAAATGTTTTACAACAGGCAGTGTTCGGGGGGATATTTTCCTTTTAGCATTACTAGCGCCGTCCTAGTGGATACTTATGGAACTAGAACACATCATACAAATTTCTAGTTCCATAAGTATCCACTAAGACGGCGCTAGTAATGCTAAAAGGAAAATATCCCCCCGAACTCCGCCTGTTGTAAAACATTTCGTAACCACAATATTCATCTCGTGTCCAGTCCTGTATATCTTAGTCCGTGGTATAGTGTATACTATCACTGCAATTGGTTTAGTTTTAATTGTTGTATTATATCACAAAGTAACAATAATA